AGTTGCAGTCGAAACGTCGTGAGAATTTTATTGTTTTATATTTTTGTTATTTTATTGTTTCCCTTCTACGTGACTTTACCGAAAAAAAACAAGAATATGAATCCCTGCAGTCACGAAAGCTTAAAATGAAAATTTAATAAAGCAATTGTGTTAAGAAAGCTTCAAATCAAGAGTAAAACCAATTGTATTAATTGTGATAATGGAATGAAATGTCCCATGTGTGTAGCTGATCACCCCAAGCTATAAATGCCCTAATAGTGGAATTGTCTTTGTGCTGTTCGAACCTTTTGGCTTTTTCTGGTCTCACACTTTGAGACTAGGCTCTAAAGAAAGTCGTCTCTGGTGTGGACCAATCAGTTTCAAAGATAATGCATCGTATAAAATTATCAGAGCACGTCTTTTGTTTGCATGTTCACCACACGTACGCGTAGTTACTGCAGAAAGGATTCCTTGAAAAATAATAATGTTTGGTGCTTTAACATCTTAACGCCTGAATTTCGATTTAAAGTTTTCGTGATTGCAGGGATCCATATTCTTGGTTCTTTCGGTAAAGTCACGTAGAAGGGAAATATTAAAATAATAAAAATATCAAAGCAAGAAAATTAGAAAATTAGAAATAAAAAAATTTGAAATTTTCTTGCTGTGGATTTCACACCTGATGATGATTGCTTGTGTTGCAGTCGAAACGTCGTGAGAATTGTATTGTTTTATATTATTATTTTATTATTTCCCTTCTACGTGACTTTACCAAAAAAAACAAGAATATCTTAACGCCTGTTTTTTTTTTTTTGCCAGAAAGGGTAAAATACACTGCTCTATTTTGACACTGGAAATAAAGTTCTCGTATTATAGCCGTGGCGGTGGAGCGGGTCGCGCAAAGCCCTATGAACCCAGCCCTCCACCCCACCACCTACTTGAGTTCGATTCCCGACCACGTCCAACAACCAACCGGCACTGACCAGCATGGCAACATATGGTAAAATAAAAACCTCTATGACCGACACGCTGTAGGCATGCTCTTCATCCAGCAGTGGATTAACGAGGAACGTTATATGATTTCGTTTTTTTCAATGCTCTAATTTTTAGTGGATGACCTTTTTAAAGTGTGTTCCACCATAATTTCAGCCCTTTTGATAATGTTTTTACGAATCCCGTTTCATTTCTCTTTCTCTCGCTTTCTCTCGACTGATGTTCTCGTTCTTGGGCAAACAAAAAAATACCTCGACCACGTGGTTGTGTTGCTTTTTCCTCACTCTCGCTGTTTGACCCCCTTCTCTCTCTCGGTGTCCACTCCACGCTCCGTTCTCCCGGCCATCGTGTCATACTGAGTAGTTAAACAAATAAAGAAATAACGAATGTAAAATACCGTGATTAATGCCTTTCTGACCTGCAACTGGGGGGGGGGGGGTTGTTGGCGAGATCGAATCACTGCACCTATGGCAATCCACTACTGGATAATGGCCATTTCCATGCCATTATCTTAACGGGATTTATATAGCACCGTAACCAAGGGCGCTTTACGAAGAATTAACAACGGTACAAAAAACAGCGTGCGGATGTAATGGTGGTAGATAAGGTGAGTGAAATAGATGAGAGGAAACGATGGGTGGCAAATCTGTGATGATGATGATGATGAATGGATTGAATGAATGGGTTAATGAGTAATAGCCGTATAATGACAACAATTAGTATTATTTCGACAGTAAATGATGATTATTGGGTTGAATTAATGGGTTAATGAGTGATAGCCATATAATGAGAATATTTTTTTTGATGACAGTAAATGATGACGAATTGATTGAATAAATGTGGTTAATGAGCAATAGCCCAAGAATGAAAATAACTATTATTCTAACAGTCAATGATGATTTATGGATTGAATGAATGGGGTTAATGAGTGATAATTCTAGATTGGAAGTTTTCGTGACTGCAAGGGTCCATACTCTTTGTTTTTTTCGGTAAAAGTCACGTAGGTAAAAAAATAAAAAATAAAATAAATCACGACGTTTCGGAGGCAACACAAGTGTAATACAGTCATTTTGCTGTGACGGTGCCACCTGAAGACGAAAGCTTGTGTTGCCTCCGAAACGTCGTGATTTATTTTATTTTGTATTTTATTTTTTACCTACGTGACTTTACCGAATTAATGAGTGATAGCCGTATAATGAAAATGTGAAGAGAGAGTAGTGACCGTGGTGGTGGCTATAAGGGGGGGATTAAGGGGGGGGGGGGGGGTGGTGAGGTTAGCTGTGGGTAACAATAAGTGAGCTTAGAGTAAGGAGTGGAAGCCTAGTGACCGCTTAATGTCGAAAGGGGGAAGTTCGTTCAAGTGAAGAGGCTGGTGGGGAGAAAGAGAGAGAGAGCGTGGATTGAGCGCAAGGAGGACGAGGAACATAGAGCGAGACACACACGCACAAAGGGACTTTTGACTTTTAAACAACTTTTATTGCCGCCAGCAGCAACAGCACTGGAGGCGATTCCGATACGAAACACACAAAGTCACCAGCAAACAAATAACAAACACGATACATCCACGCGCTGTGGCGCTAAATGCACCGTGGACAACACGAAATAAAGGTCACGTGGTGGTGGTGGTGGTGGTTTATCGCGCACGCCACTTTGACGAGCGAGCGCTTCAGAAGGTGAACACCACGAGGGTGCCGTCAACGCTGGTACAGAGAGGGGCTTGTCCGGCTCCCCAGCGTTCGAAGAAGACGATCGGCACATCACCGGCATGGGTGTGGTACGCGTGCTCCAGCCGGAGCCGCGCCCCTTAACACTGGACTCACAGAGCAGTCGTCAGTGTCACCTTCCAGCATTTTTTTTCTCGTTCTGTAACACTGCTATCTTTGCCTGAGCACAGGCGAAGTTGGCGAGGTCATGGCGCTTGTTAGCGAGGAACAATGAGAGAGACAGCCAAGATTGAGAACGTAGAGGGCGAGAACGCGACACGTAGAGAGAGATACAAGAGTGGCAAGATACGGCGGAGCAAGACCATGAAGGGTTTTGTAGACCAGGGTGAGTAATTTGAACACGACGCTGTTTGGGATTCCTGGGGAGGTTCTGGTTTCGACGTCGGCTCGTCCAAAAGATCGCTGCTAGAGTGCTTAGGCGCCGCACCATTTCGCGAGCACACGCCATCATCACCGCCATCGCGCACACGCCTGCTCCCTTAGCTCCGCATTGGCCACCAGTCAAGCATCGAGTGGAGATCAGATCCATGCAGCTGAGCTACAAGGCTCTCAATGGGTCAGCCACACGATTTCTGCAGGAACGGATCCGTGTTGGCTCTCCAACGAGGTCCCTGAGATATTGTGATCGCCTTCTTCTACGGCGGTGTTCTTCATTGCAAGGCCAACGCAGCCCACTGGCGGGTCCCTGGTGGCGTTTAGTTGCGGCTGCTACACTTGCGGCCCCCACACAGACAACACACAAAGAGTGAAAACACTCGCCACCACCATCATCATCGTGCTGCTGTCAAACCCCATTGGTGTTTCAAATGAGTGGCAGCACCTCACACTGACGATGTTGTATTGGCGAAAGTATACCCCCTCTCTATCGTAAGGACTCCAAGGTCAAGGCTCTGTTCCTGGAGTGATCAGACTTTTGCCACTGTGTAGATCATAATCAGAATAATTATTTACACTGCAGGAGGAAACCAACGGGCGATAAAGCTCTTTTTCACAGATGTCCAGCAGCGGTACGGGGTAAGAGTGTTACAACAACAAACGATGAAAAACACGATAGGATTTAAAAGTATGAGCAAGGTAGAGAAATCACCCAATCACAACTAAACCATCCTCATCCAGCAGGCCAAACCCACTGAGTCATTATCTGCATTTTCAGGAGCGTTTTGACCACAAATAATAACCCAACAAAGTGCATTTAGACATTTATAGCAGCAACATAATATGAACAATGTCAAAGCATGTTTCTAAATGTGGTGATAAAAAACCAAGTTATTATTTAAATCACCTCTTCAAAATTGGCCTTCACCCTCCTCGTTCTGGCCCTCTTTTTTCCCTGCAGCGTTCCATTTAATTCCTTGCTTTTACATACACGCCAGCGGTGTGTTGGGGATTTATGGATGAATTGTGCCTTTCAAAATGGATTAAGATGTCGAGATACACCAACTCAAACAAAACCCCATTGCAGTGGTTCATCTCGAGCCTAGTCATGGCATTTTCTTCAAACACAGCAATGGATCTGGAAGGTATTTAGATGCAAGCGGGAGGCCAAGTGATTCCATCAACGAGGGGCATGAATTTAGAATAATGCCAGAGCCAGAAGCCTTTAATTATCGCATAATGTACGATGCGTTGAATGGGGTTTTCACAAATTAATTTGTGAGCATTTCGAGCTATTTAATTCGGCACATGTTACCGATGTATCTTTTGCTGTATGATGATTCTCGCGAATGCATTTGATTCGCATCGTCTAGCTGATGGATACCTCAATAGTTGATGTCAAAGAGTTTATCTAATTCGCTAGAGCAGTCGTGATTTGTGAGTTATTGTTATGAGAGTTAACATGTTAATTGCGTTGATACTGTTTAATGTTGTTAATAATATTGTGGTATGGTCTGGTATTAAATGGAAGACAGTCAGTATTTTGGTGGTAAGAATTAATGTTGATTTTACCTATGACCGCTAGGGGCGCTAGAGTAACCAGAAGTACCAGTGGGGAGATCTTAGACGCACGCTTCTGCGCCACGTGGACTGAGAGGCCTAGTGTTTGACGCATCCTCTCGCATAACGATCGACCGAGCACGTGCCCACGAGCTCCATTGTTCTCGACCACCAGCCATCACATGATTTACACGAATAATAAGCAATCGATTATCACGTGGATTTTGAGACGCTTGAATAGGTTACTCGTTGCACGTCCCGTCAACGCCATCACTGCTGCGTGAGTTCTGTTATATTCACACCTCTCTCTGTGACCCCCACCCCCTCCCCACCCTCTGTACTTACCCCCACCTCCCCCCCACTCCCCAGATTCTCACCCTGCTATGGCCGCAAACGCCTCTTCAGATCTCTCCTTGTTCACGCCCGACCTCATCCTCATGGTGACCCCATTCCGAGAGCCGCCCATCATCAAGTTCGCGGTGTTCTTCTTCACCCTGGCAATGTTCACCGCGGCCCTCATGGGCAACTGCCTCCTGAGCCTCGTCATCCTTCGAGATCATCAGCTGCACAAGGCAATGTACGTGCTCATGGCCGGGCTGTCGCTCACCGACATCATCTCAGCGCTCAGCATCCTGCCCCGGTTCATGCAGAACGTCGCATCCTTCAACTACATCAGCCTGCGCGAGTGTATGGCGCAGATGTTCTTCCTGCACCTGGCCATCAGAATGCAGAGCTTCACCCTCACCATCATGTCCGTCGACCGCTACCTGGCCATTGGCTACCCACTCAGGTACCACTCGCTCATGGCCTGCCGCACGGCCATCGTGGCCTTCATGGCCGCGACGGCCTCGTGCGTTCTCATGTGCCTGGGCAATGTCGGCGTCGTGGTCCCCCTCAACTACTGCAAGCCGCCGGTGATAGTCGCTCCATACTGCGACTACCTCGTGGTCCTGTTCTTGTCGTGCGGGGACTTGAGCGGTGCCGTGGCCTACGTCCAAGCAACGCTGGCCATCACTATGGTGCTTCCTGTGTTAGTGATAGTCCTCATGTATGCCCTCATCTTCTATGAGTGCCGCAAGCCAGGCCTCCGCAGTGGCCAGAAGAAAGCGCTGAAGACTTGCAGCACTCACTTCTTGGTCGTGACCGTTTTCTTCGCCGCCATTTTTTTTTCGTTTGCAAGTGGCCTCTCGTTCCTGAATTCGCTCCCCAGGTCGCTGCGCTACACCCTCCAGACGGCGCAGTACGTGTTCCCGCCCGCGCTGAACCCGGTCATTTACGGCCTTCGAACGGCGGAAATAAGGCGCAGTTTCATCAGGCAGTTCCGTAGGAAGGTGGTGGATGGAAAGTCGGAGAGTTTGGGGAACGCAGGTCACTGAACTATTAAAGACATCGGGATATGAGATATTTTTTAATCTAAACAGCCACCGGTGATTGATCCCAGTTGTTAAATGTAGCAAGGTGATAGTCTCAGCTCGGTCACCAGTGACCGCATGAAGATCACAATGGCATTATGTTTGGTTCTGGGACCCATTCCATCACTAACCCACACTGGCCAATCATTGTAAACTAAAGTTATACAAGCCCCATGATTGACAAGGTGTCAGGAGGTCTTCATCCAGTAGTAGGTTGACAAATTAAATGTTCAAAAATATTTATACATACGATATCTAAGCTATGTCATATATTTCGCAATCGTTGTTGTTCATATGTGTGCATTCAGCATACGGGCAGGAGGTTGTGTTGGGCACGTAAAGTAATGTAACCGTAGTCGTGTATGCAAATTATGCATAATAATTCACAAGCCAGTGATTTAACAATATATCGTCAATGTGTGTACGGGTGGTGTACGTGTCAATGTGGCACAAATGTTTTGCCGTATTGCTTATATGTAAAATAAAAAAAGAAGACAAACACATTCGCGACTGAGGTTCATTTGAGAGAATGTTTGATTCGTGTCTCGAATCTTAAAACAACAACAACAACAACAACACACGTTAAAATTTACCCACGGTGGAGGTGACCGGGTGGCTGAGGAGCCTCTGTATAGAGATATCCTGGTGCCGGAGAACAGAAAATACGCCAGGCAGTGATTGTCGCCGGCTCTGACACTGCTCAGGTGTAAACAACGCGCGGAGTTGTACTCGCGAGATCGCAAAAGCTGAGTGCGAATCAGTGGTTGCTAGGGATTGAACGCCATCACTCCGCCACACCGGCCAATGAGCTGCCAGGAAGACAGCCCCAATGCAATATGACAGCCGTGACGTCACTGCCCCGTGCGTTTAAAGCCGAGCTGTCACTGAGGTAAGAGGCATATTTCCGTTATTAATGCGTTTGTTTTAAGTGACGTCATCGTTCTTTTGTGCGCCAGTGTATTTATGCGAGTCGTCTGCAATTGTTCGAGTGTAGCAGTTAGCGACCCGAGTTCGATTCCCGCTCACGGCCAACACCAGTGTAGTGATAGGTTTTTACCCTTTCAACTGGTACAAAAACTGACACCTTTATACAAGAGATCATGTTTGCAATAACCACAACACAAGCAGTCAAAAATGCAAACAAAAAGAAACAACTCTGATGGCGTCATCTGGTCCAACACCAATGGAGACTAGGCTCTAAGAAAAGCTGTCTCGGGTGTGGACCAATCAACTTCAAGGACAGTGCATATCATTATCATCATCAGAGTTGTTTCTTTTTGTTTGCATTTTTGACTGCTTGTGTTGTGGTTATTGCAAACATGATCTCTTGTATAAAGGTGTCAGTTTTTGTACCAGTTGAAAGGGTAAAAACCTATCACTATATTTTGCCACTGGTAAAGGAGATGTCTCATAGTGTAAACACCAGTGGAGTTTATCTGAAGCGGTCTTGGGCCTCCCTTAGGTCAACTCAGCCTCAAATGAGTACCTGGAGCGATGTGTAAAACATCGCCACTAGGGAGACAAAGACGGCTGAGAGTAGTGTTGGCCACCCACTCCCTCGTGTGTCGTGCCGGCCTTCGTAGGTGCTGCTCGCTAACAGCACTTGCCCCAGCAGTCTGTTAGAGGCTTTACGGGCGAATGCTTGGTGGTGATGATGGTGGTGGTGGTGATGATCGTCTCTGCACGCTCAAAACAAACAAACAAAACGGAAAACGCCACCCACGTCAACTTTTTGCCGACGCCGTTAACGCTGACGCCCGTTCGTGCACATCAACGCGTGGGGTTTCATCGTCGGTCACCAACCTCCCACCCCGCCCATTACCCCACCAACCCCCTCTCCCCTAGAGCTTCACCTCCGCCGTTGATGATGACAATCGTGACCACTTCTCTAGCAATTAACGCGGTCCCTTCGCGGAGCGGGGGGATGGCGGTGGCGGTGGTGGTGGTGGTGGTGGTGTCAGTGGGGATTAGGAGGGAGGTTGTGGAACGCCGGGCGTGGTGCTGGCCAACCCACCCACCCACCCACACCTCACCACCCCCCCCCCCCCCCCCCACAATGCCGGCCTTCATAGGTAGGCACGCGACACTACTCGCTACTAACAAGCAGCACTTGCCCCGACAGTCTGTCGAAGGCTACATGGGGGATCTTTATCTTTGGAGGTGGTGGGTGGGGAAGTGATGGGTTGGAGGGAGGGGAATTTTACATCTGCGAAAACTACCCCCCAAAAGTCCCCACCCCGAACCCCTCCCCCTCCCTGCACCCACAGCCAACCCACACCCCCCATCCCCCACAAATCTCTGCCAGTCATCAGTGATGAGAGATATAAAGCTGGCGCGACAGAGTGCGAGAGAGAGCGAGTTCAGAGCGCGCGCAGGTGAGTGCATGAATATGTGAACACACTAGTGAGCGCATGAGTGCACAGGTAAACACGAGTGCACAGGTGAGCGCATGAGTGCGCAGGTAAACAAATGAGTGTATGAACACGCAGGTAAGAGCATGAGTGCATGAGTGCATGAGCACGCAGGTAAGAGCATGAGTGCATGAGTGCACAGTGCACAGGTGAGCGTATGAGTGCATGAGCGTGCAGGTGAGCGCATGACTGCGCAGGTGAATGCATGAGCACGCAGGTGAGCGCATGAGTGCACAGGTGGGAGCATGAGTGCATGAGCGTGCAGGTGAGCGCATGACTGCGCAGGTGAGTGCATGAGCACGCAGGTGAGCACATGAGTGCACAGGTGAGAGCATGAGTGCATGAGTGCACAGTGCACAGGTGAGCGTATGAGTGCATGAGCACGCAGGTGAGTGCATGGGTGCACAGGTGAGAGCATGAGTGCATGAGTGCACAGTGCACAGGTGAGCGCCTGAGTGCATGAGCACGCAGGTGAGTGCATGAGTGCACAGGTTAGCACATTAGTGTGCAGGTGAGTGCATGGGCACGCAGGTGCATGCAGGATTGCACAGGTGAGCGCATGAGTGCATTAATGCGTAGGTGAGTGCATGAGTGCACAGGTAAGTGCAAGAGCACACAGGTGAGCACGTGAACACACGAGCGCGCAGGTGAACACATAGGTGCATGAGAGCGAACAGGTGAGTGTACAGGCAGGCCAGGTGAGCTCAACTCAGCTGAGCATGTTGTGTGTACCGTGTTGGTGTGTGGAGTAGTAGTGTATCCGGTTAGCGCTACGCTGCGCTAAGAACTCGGCCATCCGATTATCTGAACCCGTACGGGGCCTCCCCTAGGTCGACTCAGCCTCAACATGAGTACCTGGTCGCGGTGTGTAGTTTACATCGCCACAGGGGAGACATAGGCGGCCGGGCGTGGTCGATAGCCACCCACGTCACCACCACTCTCTCGTGTGCCGCCGTGCTGGATTTCGTGAGTTGCTGCTGCTAGCTGTCACAGCACTGCTACCCTAGCAGTCTGTTACAATCTTGATTTGAATCTTGATTTGAAGCTTTCTGTTACAAGTCTGTTACAAGCTACGCGTGGGGGGGGGGGCTGGTGGGGGAATCTCGAGCTTGGTGTGCACGTGATATTTCGCGGCTCCCCTAGCCACGATCACGTGTTAGAGAACGCGTACCTCTTCTTGGTTCTTTCGGTAAAGTCACGTAGAAGGGGCATAATATGACTTTGAAACCCCCCCGCCCACCTCCTACGCATTTCCCATGAATATGCTAAATTCCTCTTCATATGCACATTTTTTTTGTTAAGGCGCTCTTCTTGCACCTCCAACCCAGCGTATATATAAGCTCCTAGCTTGGTAGTGTCTCATTCTTCACCTGAAGACGGCTGCTTGCGTTGTAGCCGAAACGTCGTGAGAATTATTATGTTTTATTTTTATTATTTTATTACTTCCTTTCTACGTGACTTTACCGAAAGAACCAAGAAGATGAATCCCTGCAGTCACAAAAGCTTTAAATCGAAATTTGAACGCGTACCTGTGAACCCACACGGCTTACCCCATATTCTTCTACTAAGGTAGGCACTGATAAGGGGTTGGCAGCTTTGCTCACCACACAGAGACCCATAGACTCAACACACAGATACCCGAAGACTCACCATACAGAGGCCCACAGACTCACTACACAGAAACCCGCAGACTCACCACACAGATACCCACAGACTCAACACACAGAAACCCATTGACGCAACACACAGATACGCGCAGACTCACCACACAGAGGCCCGCAGACTCAACACACAGATACGCGCAGACTCACCACACAGAGGCCCGCAGACTCAACACACAGATACCCGCTGACTCACCACACAGAGGCCCACAGACTCACCACACAGAGACCCATTGACGCAACACACAGATACGCGCAGACTCACCACACAGAGGCCCGCAGACTCAACACACAGATACCCGCAGACTCACCACACAGATACCCACAGACTCAACACACAGAGACCCATTGACGCAACACACAGATACGCGCAGACTCACCACACAAAGGCCCGCAGACTCAACACACAGATACCCGCTGACTCACCACACAGAGGCCCACAGACTCACCACAGAGACCCACAGACTCGCCACACAGAAACCCACAGACTCGCCACGCAGAGACCCATATACTCAACACACAGATACGCACAGACTCACCACACAGAGGCCCGCAGACTCAACACACAGATACCCATAGACTCAACACACAGATACCCGAAGAGTCACCATACAGAGGCCCACAGACTCACCACATAGATGCCCATAAACTCACCACACAGAGGCCCACAGACTCACCACACAGAAACCCGCAGACTCACCACACAGATACCCACAGACTCAACACACAGAGACCCATTGACGCAACACACAGATACCCGAAGAATCACCATACAGAGGCCCACAGACTCAATACACAGATACCCCCTGACTTACCACACAGAGGCCCACAGACTCACCACAGAGACCCACAGACTCGCCACACAGAAACCCACAGACTCGCCACGCAGAGACCCATAGACTCAACACACAGATACCCGAAGAGTCACCATACAGAGGCCCACAGACTCACCGCACAGAGACCCATAGTCTCAACACACAGATACCCGAAGACTCACCATACAGAGGCCCACAGACTCACCACATACATACCCATAGACTCACCACACAGAGGCCCACAGACTCACCAGACAGAGACCCATAGACTCAACACACAGAGATCCGCAGACTCGCCACGC